AAAAAAAAACAAATCAGCAAGAGAATCAAAGAAATCAAAATATAGATACCTGAGTAGTCATGTTGTTTAATAGAGCGGATTTCGTATGAGTGGGACACCGTTACCGCACGGTTACCGCACAGTTACCGGACCTGGCCTTCACAATTTTGGTGAACCAATGGGGCCCTAGAATTTGGTTACAGAACGATTACGGTCACAGTACAGTACCGTCCGTTTCCCACTCATACGAAAATCGCTCTAATCATTTCCACGAGCAAGATCCGGGTGATCTCGCTATATCCCTTATTCTTGGCGTTCAAGTTACGTCATCACCGCAATATTGGATGAAGATCACAAAGCATTCCTCGTTAGTTTCTCTTGTTCATTCATCCAACATGGCGGCGATAGCTTTGTTCTTTATTTCTCAGAGGATTCACACGAAGAATGTATTGTTTTTTYCGATAAAATCCATACGAAATCTATGGACTGTATAACCTTRTCAACCYTTCATAGAGTCTCAGACGTTAACGTTTGCTTTTGGATCTCGTATCTACCTCCACCCATGTATGCTTCCGTCTAGGTTTGACAAGGTTTGACTTACATTTCGTACAGAGTAGTATTTTGAAACAGTCTCTCTGAAATCATCTTGTAGACGCTCAAGCTGTTTTCTATGTTGCGGCTGAAAAACATCAAATAAAAAGATAAAAAATAAGAACGATACGTATGGGATAAACTCGAATTTAATATGATTTGCTTGCATGGAATTTGCGCATTTGGTCCAGTTGCTGAGAAGAGAATACTAATTGTTTCGATTGTGAGCATTTTGAGAAATCTAAATAATACATCAATATAAACATTATATACTAGCCCTAGCTAGTTAAGCAAGTGTGTTAAGCAAGAAAATCACTAGGAGGGGGAGGGGTTTCGGCACCAGTTTTTCTTGGTCAAAATAAATCAACACAGGAAGACCAATGTTCTATATTCAAACTTACTGAAGAAGCACAAAGCTGACCCAAATCTAAAGAAGCCATATTCTTCAAAACGTTTGTTGCTGCAGTACTTGTTTCTTGAATTACGCGAGCTCTGAGATTCATTTATATTCATTGATCAGTTTGGTTGAAATACAAAGAGATGATAGAGATCCAGGGGCGGATCCAGCATTTTATAAGGGGGGAGGGGGTGATTTTGTCAGTAATATATAGCTAAAAACTAAGTATAGCAGATGGAAACGATCATTTTTGTTAGCTGTGTATTGTCTAGAGCAAGAAAATTATGCACAATTTGACCGGAAGCAAATTGACTTTTCATGCAACGTATCTTTGACTACACTACTCGAATATAGATTGTTAAGCAGCATAGTGTTGTGTATGCTACTCGTTTTCTCTATAAAATTACAACAGGAGTATAAACAGCTGAAAACAATTATACTGATATATAAAAAAATTACTTCGTACAAAAGGGGAGGGGGTGCGTCCGCACCTAGAGCACCTCCCCTGGATCCGCCCCTGAGATCTAATTACAAAACGTTTTCACAGAGAAATAGAGCAGAGTCACATGAACCATGAAATAAAAACTAAAAAGTACTAACTAATAGGTACTATTAGTTCCCAATAGTCATTAGCACAGAACCAAAACACTTTATTTGATCCAATAAGCAATACCCAAGAGACCACTTTAACAATCAAAGTCATCTCTTTGAACTGTTCTGGTTCAGTGATAGTGTCTAAATAGTGCCTATTAGTTACTAAATATTTAGTTTCTATTTCATGGTTCAAGTGTAGTACATTTCAGTAAAAAGGATAAGATAGACAAAAGAAATCGTTATGCCTGAGTGATCTTCTTTTGCCTTTTTAGGGCTTATTCCTTTTTACAAAAGCTCAACGGTTTTTCTTTCTCTTAAACATTTTTGCAATTTTTGGCGTAATATGTCATTAAAAGCAAGGCTTGCAGCAGGACGCAAATGTTCAACCTGCATCATGCAAACCAAGGTGGAAGCTGGACTAACATTGGTAGTTTAGAAATTCCGTCTTGACATCCTCAAATCGGATCTCGGTCAGTTCGACAGAACGACACGATAATTCTGGGCCAAAACGCTAGACGTAAAATAATATAATTATTACATTCTCACATTTTTTCTAGTAATTCATTTTCTCTTCCAGACGATATCTTCTCAAGGATTTTCTCAAGTTCAGCAGCTATACAAACACAATATCATGTATTAGATTGTTCAAAAATTTAAAAAAATATTATCTTCAGATTCTTACTATTGGCCTTGATCTGTTTTATGTTTCTTTCAATCATCTCTTGAAGTTCTTCTTGTCGTTGATCTAAATTAGGCAATTTATTTGTTCTTATATTTGAGCATCAGTACAGTTTCTTTTCAATTTCTTAACGGTTTTTATTTTTCGCGCAATAAGTCCGAAACGCAGCAAGGATTTTGGATTCCCCTCAAATGCGAAGCTGAGACCTTTGGTTGACGACATTAAAATTCATTAATTATTCGGGAGGAATGATGAATATATTTGCTCATGCGCGAACGAGCTATGAAAAGTACTTTTTCGTCCCACATGCGATAGCACCGGGATGGTTTCTTACGGATTACCAGCTTGTCATCTAGTTTKTWTTTTTTTTTTTTTTGTATCAGAAGCCGGTTGTCATGACCACATGTCAATGATTGCAAGATGAGGGACTAMGTGGTCCAAAGAGTTTGAAATAATGAATTTGAAACTATTTGACCCTTGAAAATTTTCAAAGTAAACTACAGGTACAGCGAACCTAGCCATTTCAAGACTTTCAAGATAGTCAACATCATCCCCAGGCCCTTATGACTTCGCCCCGCGCATCCTCTCCTTTTTATTGGTCCAGTGGTCTTCTCACGAAACCGGAAGTTTTACGGCTGTGAGAGAGACTGCATGCATTTTTGGATGTCATGAAATATATCATTGCATCACTGCAAATTGCATTACCTTTTCTAGGAAAGCCTGCATTACTCTGAACGGCCGTGTCTCCATACGATCGGCTAGTATTAGCACCAAACGCTTGAGACATTTCTAAAGAAAGCAATTTATGCAGTAGTATATTTTAAACTTAACAGATGAATCTTGGAATCTCCAATATCGAAATCGCTTTCGCAGCATAATGATATCTCAACATTGGAGTATTTGATTCTCTGAAGGATRTTTCATTCATAAATCCTTAGAGGTAGAGATATAGTCATTGTGATACATACCTGATTATAGTAATAGTCTAGTAATGCCGTAGCTGTTTCAGCTGTTTCCGTCTTATATGTATTATACTATTGTACCATGCATTGGCATCTTGTGACACAGACCACGTGACCATTTAGGTCACACAGGCTTGTTTGACCTTCTGAACACAATTGCCGAATTTTGCATCGTTACAAATGCGCTTAAACGCATTTTACGATAAATATTTATGTCATTTGACACCAGCACTATGCAATGTATTCATATATTTTTTTCTTGCTTCTCACACATACAGACAGCCACAAAATTAGAAAATAATTACCAGGCAAATTACAAACTCAATTTCAATATATATAGCAAAATAGAGTAGGCAATGTGTTACCCTGCGAGCAAAGTGTATTTCCTTACCTCAATAAAAATTCGCGAAGGAAAATATTTTCCTTCGCGAATTTTTATTGAGGAAATACACTCTGCTCGCACTCTGCTCGTAGCAATGTGTAGTAGCCGAACAAACATGACGGGAGTTGTAGTTTTTTAAGTCCGTTTACATATTTCTCTTTTTCTACATTTTTTTAAATAGAATCTGCACAAATGGCTCGCATTTCTGGAAATATAACACGAAAACCGCATCTGTGGATCATGGAGAGGGAGAATTTAGGCTTCCTTGCTTCCTTTTCGATCATCACTCGTTCATCGCTCACACACTCCACTTTAGAAAGCACTACTTCTCGCAGTCGACACATAAGACCAATATTCTAAATTCTTTCAAAACATGGTATTTTTAAGGGTATCTAAAAAATATCAGAAACTATTTTAGCATCAGCAAACTTGGATTGGGTTTCCTGTGGTATTGTAGAGCGCATGTCTSAAAAATCCAATGCAAGATGGAGTTCGAAGAGCTGAAAATTGAGATACCGATAGAGGAAGACGAAGAAGACGACAGTGATGAATTACAGTTACCTGTAAGAAAACAATTATATCCTGCTTTGAAACTGCAGTCGTTAAATGAATCAAATGATTATTTTTCAGACCAAGAAGTACGAGAATAAAGCCGGTAGTTTTGTKGTTGGKTTTGATGTTAACTCAAAGGTTAGCTTAAAACACCTTAAATGTACTCCAGTATTTCCTGCTGAAAGATGTCATTCTTTTTAAGTAATAGAATAGAAACCACAATTGTTATGACTTTTCAATCAGATSACTCGATCAAGAATACACAGACTTGACTCATTCCATGTGTGCTGCATAACTTAACTTAATTATGTTGTC